CCCCAGACAAAGCTGACTTGTCGGTGCCAGGCCTGAGCTCTCAACAACCCACCTGGGACCACAGAAACCACCCATGAATAGCAGCACAGTCCAGTCCAATCTTGTAAGTTTTGTAAACAAAGGAGATGTGAACTGAAAGTCCAGGCCTCCACAAGACCACCCTGCCCCCTTCCTCCTGGCTGCTACCAGCCTTTGACTGTGCGCAACACCAGAGTGGGTAGGTTCCCCAGTAAACCGCATGTTGCTTGCTCAGCTCTGTGGGTACTTGCAGGCGGCACACAGGCCTCGTCTTCCATTCTGGGAATGGGTCTAACCACTGTGCTTCTGATGCTCCTGAAAGTGCTGGGGAGGCAGGCAGTTCAGGACACTTCCTCTGGAGTTTTAATTCCCACGGAGCCCAGCAGCCCTGGAGGAAGCCCTGCCCTCCACCCTCACCCTGTCTGCAGGCATCAGCAGAAACCAGAAAAGCCTGTTGTGTCTGAACCCTGTCGTGATCAGAGGGACAAAGCAACCTCTGTGACCGGCACTGGGCATACTGCATGACTGGGTAAGTGGAATTCTCGGCATCTGAGCTGACCCCAGACCTAAAGCTGCCTGCAGGTGCCTGTGTGCCCCCGATCTGGCTGACCATGGCACCCCATGGGGCTGCCCAGGGCTCTTTGGCTGTTCAGCAGGCAGTGGCAGCACCCTGGGTTGAAGCCAGCACTGCAGTGTGGCTCTGTCTGCAGCTGCAGGCCAGAGCCAGCAGGACAGGCGGTCAGGCGGCAGAGCTGGGGAGAGGAGAAGGAAAAAGTCAAAACACCACAACTACAACAGGTGTTCCTGTGTGGCCGCTACACGGCAGCTAGTACGCCCGCTAGGTAGGTGCTGCCTCCCCACACATGCTGCTCGTGACATTAGCAAGGTACCTGAGTGGGGCTGACATGCTATATGAGTGCCCACTCATATCCTGGCTGCTCCAGTTCCGACCCAGCTCCCTGCTGATGCACCTGGGAAAAGTCTGAGTGCTTGGGCCCCTGCGCCCAGCGGGGAGACCTGGTTGAAGCTCCTGGCTGCTGCCTAGCCCAGCCATGGTTGGTACAGTGAGCTGGGGAGTGAGCCTGGGGAAAGAAAGTATCTCCCCTCTGTGTGTAACCCTTTAAGGAAGGGTAACGTGGTGTCTAGTTGACATCCCTGGGGACACCTGTGCCTCTTGCCGGAGTGCCTGTTCTCAGTCCCCGTTTTGCTCTCTGCCAGGGTGCACCCCAAGAGGCAGCGATGGCTCAAGCACTGGGGCGCCTCCACCGACATGGGGGCTCCGGATTGAGTTCCCGGATCCCTGGACCAACCATGGCTGTCACAGGCATTTAGGGAACGAACCAGCGGGTGTCACTCTGTCTTTTAAAAGAAAATGGTTTAATAAAGGAGCACTAGCCAGTGATGAGATGCCTGGAATGGAAGGGGCAGGGGAAGGGTCCTCACCAGCTGTCCCGGGCTCAGCCCGCACCCTGGGTGATTGCAAAGGGGATGGAGCTTTATGGTGTGGGCAGGCCTGGTCTCCCTGGGGTGCAAGGAGGGAGCTCTTCCAGGTCCTGGCCGAGGGAAGGAGAGGATGCTTTCCTCTCCGCGCCCCACAGTGCCCTCAGTGGGCACAATCGAATCCCCTGCTGGGGGTTCACACACACCACATAAGCACAAGTCCCTTTCCCACCGTGGGGACGCAGCTAGGTTGCGGCATGGCTGGGGCCTGTTTGGGGCATGATTTTGGAATGTTCTCTGGGAGCCCCCACATAGGGACTACAGCCCCCAGCAATGAGAAGCAGGACCCTTTCTGTGAACGCAGAAATGGCCAGTGACTCCTTGCACAGGCCAGCCACAGCTGACGCTGGGCCAGATCATGGCCAGGAACTGGGAACTCCAACGTCGGGGGGCTGGACCCAGCTACTTGAGCCACCACCTGCCACCTGCCACGGTGGGCCTCAGCAGGAAGCTGGAGGTGGCCCTGGTATGCCATCCAGTACAGGAAGGGGCAACCCAAGCAGCATCTTCGATGCCATGAGGAGGCTCAGGGTAGGAGCCCAGCGCCATGGGGCTGAGCTGGGGCTGGGGGCTGCAGCCTGAGTCCACAGGGGCCGTCAGGGGCTCTTAGTCTCAGCTGTAGTGGGAGACTTGCCCCCCCACCTCCTTAGCAGCACACAGGGATGTGAGGCAAGCAGAAGCATGGGCCGGCAGGAACCCATGGCCTTCTGAAGGTCACCCTGCGGGACTGCAACCACACTACAAGCACTGCCTTCGTGAGGGCCGGCGAGGGCCTCTGGTTCTGGTGGAGAGGAGCACCAGACACGTTTGTAAATAAACTGAGTGAGAAATAGACCCAAAGTCCATCTCAACGGGCCAGCGGCATCTCCAGGAGTGTGCTCTGGGCCAGCTCTGCCCGCTGCTGCAGACAGGTGAGGCTCTGGCCCACCTGCTGGCCGGGGCCTCCAGGGGCTGAGCCAGCCCTCCTGGCCGCTCGTGCGTGCCATCTGCTGGCCATGTCTTCCGCCGCCCAGTTCAGCTACTCAGCCTAGTCACACTTTTCCATGGCCAAGAGGATGCTGACTTCATGATGCTCCATCACACTGCCTGCTCTTCAGCTGCAGCACTGTGGGCACCATCCATTCTGGAATGTTCTCACTGCCTGAGAAGCCCTGGCCTCTCCAGTAGTGGCTCTGCTGTCTCCCGGACTTGCCCACTCTGCACCTTGCTTGTGAGGCCCCCTGCATTGGGCTTCTCTTCCCGAGCACCCATCTGGTGGTCTGTGTCAGGGCTTCCTTCCCTTGGTGGCCAGGCAATACTTCATCTTCTCCCGCCACAGCCCGTGGAGTTGCGTTCTGCCATTTGGTTTTGGTGGCTGATGCACGGGGTGTGTGCGAGGGTGTGGGAATTCTGCTCCATCAGATGGGAGCCGAGCCGTCAGGTGGCCTCCCACGGGGCTGCTCCTTCTGCGCAGCAAGGGAAGGCCCCAGGGTCCCTCAGTACTGCCTTCTGATTCCAGCCACTCTCCTGGGCCAGGCTTTCACGTGACTTCCTGCTGATTCTTCCTGTACTGATTGGCCGCCCATGCGTTTTCTTTGGAGAGGGTGCAAGTGCTTGGTGCACTGTGTCCTTGCGTTATTGAACTGCGGTGGTTCTGCCTGGGACACCCCCCACCCTCTTCATCTGTGTGTCGGTTTCTCTTTTCTGATCATGCTCCTTGAAGTATAAGGGTTTTGACTTTTGAAGAAGGAGGACTTGTCTTCTGTTTTGTTGCCTCTGGTTCCACTGTTGTGGAAACCACAGACAAGTCCAAATCACCAGGATTCACACCCAGGTTTCCTTTTAAGCGTTCTCTGTGTGGCGTGTCAGGGTGGGTATCCAGGTGTTCTAGCGCCATCTGTCGACAAGATTGTTCTTGCACTTGGATTATCGGGAAAATCAGCCATGGTAGACCTGAGGCTTTATGCCAGGGCCTGCACTGTTTGGTCCATATCTAAATGTGTCCTTGGCTGGTACTACCTTGTCCTGACACCATGACTCTCCCTCAGGATGCTCTGAATGATCAAACTCAGGAAGGTCCTGTTTGCACTTTCCCTACAGAAAGGAAGGAGCTTCTACTGCCAGGCATGCCTGGCATTACTGGAAAGACCAGTAACTGCTATGTGGCCACAGCCGATTAATCCACAGCAGTCCTGCCCCAATTGGCATTGCGGAGGACACACAGCTAGTGTCAATCAGAAGATGCTAAAACTCAAAGCCCTAACATGGGAAAATTCTGTCTGGCATGTCTTAGTATTTCCAAGCCAGTTGCTAAGCCATGTTTTGGGCTCAACTGCAAAATCACCGGACGGATACTTGGCAGTGACCAACCTTCCCGAGGCTCATCCTGTAGCAGCAGGGCTGGGTCTGCGTGTCCGCTGATGCAGGAGGCAGCTCAGGGTTGGGTCACTGCCTCACCTGTTCAGAGACCGGCACTGAGTCCCAGGCTCCTGGCTGCACAGCGACCCAACCCCAGCTGTCGCACGAATATGAAGAGTGAGCCTGCGGGTAAATCTCTATCTTCATCCACCTTTCAAATATTTTCTTAAAAGAATTTCTTATAAAAGAAACTACACAGCTTTTACCTTAGAAATCTGTCCAACACGGGTATGGGATACTGAGGTATTCCACCCCCAGGGATGTGCACACAGCCCTCACTGAAACCACGCGTGGTATCTGTCTTGTTTTGCCTCAGGGTACGAGTGAGCTCACGCCAGGCAAGTCTAAGGTGTATTAAGGAGTCTTTACTGACCAAGCTCGGTGATAACAGAGCATACTAGAAATAGCAAATCACAAGTCCATAGGGCAATCCAACCAATCGTAACCCTAAGAGGAACAAATGGTCATTACCCTGAAGTCCATCCACTGAGCTGAAGACCTATGTCCCAGCTTCCCCAACAATGTAAGTTATCCTAAGAGACATGCAACGAATAACCTGGACACACTTGCAAAGCTGCAGACACTCACCTTTCTCTGGCTTCTCTGCCCACGTTCTGTTACTGTTAGGCCTCATCTCTCCTGGAAACTTAAAAAAAAAAAAAGATTTATCTTATTTTTATTGGAAAGTCAGATATACAGAGAGGAGGAGAGACAGAGAGGAAGATCCTCCATTTACTGATTCACTTTCCAAGTGCCGCAGTGGCTGGAGCTCACTGAGCTGAAGTCAGGAGCCTCTTCCGGGTCTCCCACGCAGGTAGAGGGTCCCAAGGCTTTGGGCCGTCCTCGACTGCTTTCCCAGGCCACAGGCAGGGAGCTTGGATGGGAAGCAGGGGTGCCAGGATTAGAACCAGCGCCCATATGGGATCCTGGTATGTGCAAGGCAAGGACATTAGTTGCTATGCTGTGCCGGGCCCTAGAACTCTTGATAGTACACAGATTAGAAATAAAAGCAGCTTGGCATTGCTATCTTTACTCTCCCACACAAGCAGTGAAGAGAGAACGAGAAATACAGACACACAGGGGCCATGCTGAAGGGATACTGTCCTCAGTCTGTCCTTGGAAAGCCAGAGAACGAGCAGGTACTGGGAAGGCAAGAGCGCCAGAGTGAGGGAGGGTCAGCAGAGAGAGAGTGCCCCTCCTATCATGGGCCTTTACGGGGCTTTGTGAGGGGCGTGGTTACGCAACAATGCAATACCTCCCCCTCTGAACTTGCAGGTGCAGTTAGGTAAGCATCACAGGTGGGCAGGAGGGAACACCTAGGTGGTGGGGAGTGGCTTCCAAGCTCCTGACCCTGAACTAGCTGCCTACACTACCACAGTCTGAGCAGTGAGAAAAACCTGGCATCTGGGGGTAAAGACAGCCCTTACCGTTCCGTGGGTTTCTGCCACGTGGCCTTGGCCATCACAAGGCAGCCGTGCCCAAGGGCAGCCTCTTGGGACTAGGGCGGGAGTGGGGCACTGTCTGGAACTGGCCAGGTTCAAAGTCTGGACTCTGTCCACCCTCTCAGGCCTCAGCCTTGCTGGCGCTGCTGCTGCTGCTAGACGGCAACATGTTCTCCTTGCCTGAGCCGCCCTCTGGGCCCCTGGAGAAGATCTTCCAGTACATCGACCTGCACCAGGATGAGTTTGTCCAGGTAGGAGAAGCTGTGCTCACCAGGAGTGCCTCACACCGGACTTTGGGCCCTCAGCGATCTGTCAGAGACCATTGTTGGCTGGGACACGTGCACCCCCTCGGCTGACGACCGAATCCCCTTCCAGTGGCCTGCGTCCTTACCAAATTAAAATCACAGGCCTGTGTAAGCTTTCCTCCCTGGGCAGCCCTGCTCACAGGAGGGGCTCCTCAGCAGGATCCCCCCGAGATTCTGCTCACACCATCGGTCCGTCAGCTCCTGGCCCCAACACCCCAGCCCCTCTCCAGCCTCCATCTTCGGAGCTCTTCCCAGGGGATACCTACCCTGAGGCCCCAGCAGAGCTAGGGGCTGGAAATGGAGTGAAATTCAATGCTAGACTCCCGTGTGACCCTCTGCTTTGTCCCAGCTGAACTTGTGGGAGCAGGAAGAGAGGGGAGCCCCAATCTCCCTGTGAGACTTCTTGCTTGGCCCCTCTGTGGACCCCAGGGCTGTGATCGCAGTCCTGGAAGCCTGGGAGCTCCCTGAGGCCTCGGCGGATGCTGGGCTCTGGGCCCAGCACCATCTGGCCATGGTGTGCTCATAGGATCCCTCCACCGATTCCAGGAACATTCCTGTGCAAGCAAGCAGTGAGCACAAAGCCAAGTGTGCAGGCCCCGGTTCCCACGGCTGAGCAGTGCGCAGTCCCTGCTCCTGCCTGAGAACTGGCGTGATGCACCGGCTGCATGGGCCAGGAGAGCTGGCAGGCCGGGCAGGGCTGGCCGTCAGGAGTGTGTGCTGCCTTCCATTTCCCCCAGATGCTTTCAATTCAGGGAGGACCCAGCTGCACCTGCTCTACAAAAATCTAGCTTAAAGAATAACAATGACTGAGGACTGGGGTTGGGGAGCACCTGCCACCTCCCAGGAGCTGAGGCTTGCCACTGTTTGCAAGCCTGCAGCCATTGCCCCCAGACGGCTGGGCATTTCTCTCACCTGTCCCGTCCTCTGCATTACCACGTGGCTCTTGCCTCTCGTTAGGCCCCAGGACCCCAGCCACTGGAGGGGGATTGTGGACTCCTGAGCTCACGTGGCCCCCTGGAGATAATCCCATGTCCTCTCCTGTCCTTGCAGACCCTCAGGGAGTGGGTGGCCGTGGAGAGCGATTCCATCCAACCGGTGCCTCGTCTCAGGCAAGAGCTCCTGCGGATGATGACCATGGCTGCAGACCGGCTCCGGCACCTGGGAGCCAGCGTAGACTGCGTGGACCTGGGCTCTCAGGAGGTGCTACCAACCTCCGTCCTACTGTGGGGCTGCCTTTTCTGTGGAAGTGGGCCGTGTCTTCCCAGGGGCGTGGCAGGGGGACCTTTCTCTGACACTCAACCACTCCTTTACCCCCCTGCGCACCCTGGTTCCCAGGGGGCCTACCAGGACCCAACGCCATATTAGGAGCCGGTGGGGATGTCGGAAAGGCCGCCTGATTTTGAAAGCCCTCCTACCGTCCCCGTTGTACTATTTGTGCAGGCGCGATTAGAATTTCTCCCAAATTCTTCTTTCCCATGAATGCCTCTGCTTCTTTCTCCATGGCATTTTTAAAATTTAACAAAAATATTTATTTTTATTTGAAATCCATAGTTACAGAGATACAGAAAGAGAGGGAGATTTCCACTGCTGATTCACTCGCCAGCAAGGGAAGCCAGGAACCGGGAACCCCTTCTGGGTTTCCCACGTGAGGGCAGGGACCCAAACAGTTGGGCCATGTCTGTTGCTCTCCTAGGTGCATTAGCAGGGAGCTAAATCTGAAGCGGAGCAGCCAGGGCTTGAACTGGTAACCATAGGGTGGTGTGTGGCAGGCTGCAGCTTAACGTGCTATGCCACAGTGCATGCTGGAATCAGAATCTGTCCCCTCCCCACACTGCTGCCTGCTTTGACGTCAGCCTAGAGCCTCCGTTCCTTCAGTTTCAGCCAGTTGAGATGTGAGTTCTCATTGAGGAGCATGTTCAAACACCCTATGTGGGGCCAGCCCATGGAAGAATTTATGTTCTAATCAGTGTTCTAGGGCTGAGAAGCCCGAGGTGAGCCGAGGCCGGGCCTCCCCCCGCCCAGGCCAGGCCCAGGTCTCCTGACACTAGGTCAAGCGTGTTCTTAGGCAGCATGACCACTTCCCTCTGCAGTTGCCTGGAGGGCAGCGTCTTCCGATCCCGCCCATCATACTGGCTGAGCTGGGCAGTGACCCCAACAAGCCCACCGTGTGCTTCTACGGCCACCTGGACGTGCAGCCGGCTAAGCGGGAGGACGGGTGGCACACAGACCCATACTCACTGACGGAGGTGGATGGTGAGTGGCCCGTGTTCCTCAGCACCCAGCTCATGGTGGCAGGGCTCACTGCTGGGCAGCAGTAACCCTAGGACCCTGCCCTCAGACTCCAGATGAGCCAAAAGGCCAGGTTGGGATCTGCCCAGCAGCTCTTTCCTTGCTGGAAGTGATGATCAACTCTGTGTCCCCCAGTGGGGCTTCTCGGGTTGTCAGGAAACTGGAGCTGGGAGCTGGGGACTCCATCCTGCTGTCCTGCGTGAACGGCAGGGACACCCGGCTGCTTGAGCCAACACCGTAGCCCTCGCTTCCCCACTGGCATGTTACCTGCCAGGTCAGACCCCTGCCCTGTATCTTTTTCTTCTTAAAAACACCAACAGTAATTCATATTTTACAAAGAACAGAGGGAGGAGGGCTCACAGATGAAGGGCTCGATCCTGAGTGGAGTGTAAACGTGCAGCCACTGAGCCTCGCAATTGCGTCCTTGGGTCTCCAGCGAACTCGACTGCGAAGCAGCCACGGCTCCCTGTTTCACATGGCTTTCGCTGGCTGGCTCCCGGCTACTCCAGCCGGATAAAGAGATGGCCGCTGGTGGCTTCAGAGCAAGGGCTGTGTCAGGGCAGGAGAACACAGCTCAAACGTGCCGCTCAGCACTTGTCTGGTTCACTCAGTGTGGTAGGGAGTCCATCTGCTTTTGAACATTCTTCTTCCGCCTCTGCAGGGAAACTTTATGGCCGTGGAGCTACAGACAACAAGGGGCCTGTCTTGGCTTACATCCATGCTGTGAGCACCTTCCAAGCCCTGCAGCAAGTAGGTGGCTATGCTGGCGGGGCTGGGCCGGGGAGGATGGTGACCTTGCAGCTGATGGTCCCAGGTATACCCAGAGTGCTTACCCAGGGTGACCCTCTGGGGACACTTGTCCCGCTCCGACCATGGCTCCTTGTCCACACTGACAACCATGTGAAAGCACGAAATACCACAACCTTGCGGCTGTTTTGCTGTGACTCATGTGGTTTTCATTTTTAGAGATTTATTTGTATTTTTACTTGAAAGGGAGATTTACAGAGAGAGACAAAGAGAGCGTCTATCTGCTGGCTCACTCCCCAAATGGCTGCAACCTCCACAGCTGAGCTGCTCTGAGCCAGGAGGCAGGAGTGTTCTTCCTGACTCCCACACAGGTGCAGAGTCCCAAGGACTTGGGTCACCCTCTGCTGCTTTCCCAGGCCACAAGCAGGGAGCTGGATGGGAAGTGGAGCTGCCAGGACACGAACCAACACCCCTATGGGATGCTGTCTTGCAGGCAAAGGGTTAGCCTGTTGAGCCACTCATTGGCCCATAACTTATGTTTTTATACTTGATCTTAGCTGAAAAGTCGAGCAGTGACCTAACTGTATTTTTAAAACTGTATTTTTAAAAACTCCTCATGCTCGTTCTCTTGCCTTGTTTCTTACTTAGTGCACAGCAGGATTCTGTTAGCAGAGACTCCAAATCTGTACCGGTTACTTGGCACACGACCAAGATGGAGTGCTGCTACAGGCAGTTACAGTGAGAAGAAGGGGAGGAGACGCAGCAGGAAGGGAGAGACGGAAAGAGAGAATGTACAGGCCTAAAAAAAACAAAACTGAAAACCTATGGTAGTTCTAGCTTTTCTCATCTTGCCCGGATTGTAACCATCACGTACTCTTAACACTGGGCATTTAAGAAGCAAACAGGTCTCCTTTGCTGGCTTCATGTTGCCACCCATCGGCAAGCTCCCTGCCCAGCCTCCCTCCTGCTGACCCGGGCAGAGGTTTGGAGAGCAGAAAGCCCTTGCAGGTCAGAAAAAATTTCTGCTCTCAGTATATCTACCACCCTGTCCAGGGGGGCTGGGGGAAGACAAGAGTAGCAGTTAGTCCTGGGGTGCCATCTCCATGGCCAGCCCCACTGCAGGCTTCCAACATCCGTCTTTGTGGGTGTCGCCCCAGGATCCTCAGGAGTACGCGGGCCTGGACTCTGGCAGCATTATTGGCATATCAGATGCCACGGGCTTGTCCATCAGCACTTTGCTTTTCAGATACACGCAGCTCAGAAGGGGGGCGCTGCACCAACTTCACTCCTTATCTAAGAGGGGAGTTCTGGCTGGGTCCTGCCAACTCCTGCCAAGTTCACCCAGCTAAACAGGCTTGGACCATTTGATCGGGCCTGGGGGTCCCACTCTCCCACTTTCTCTCCATCTCTGCATACCTGTCCTTCCATTTTTCCATTTCTCTCTCTCCATCTCTCTCTTCCTTTTTCTTTCTCTCTTCCCTTCCCTCCATCCTTCTCCACAACTGAGGTAAATATTAACAAGAAACTCCTATATAAATTCCAGGTTTGCTTTACTCCTGAAAGTTACAGAATGAGAGCAGAATAAGGTTCACTTCACTCGGCGCAGTCAGCCCACGGTGCTGGGTCTGCTTTCCCATCTGTGAGTGCGCCATGATGATTCTCCCACAAACGCTCCTGAGATCAAGCAAAAGTGGGATGGCCAGGTCCTCCGCCAGCCCTGTCCTCCGCCAGCCCTGTCCTCCGCCAGCCCTGTCCGCCGCCAGCCCTGTCCGCCGCCAGCCCTGTCCTCCGCCAGCCCTGTCCTCTGCCACCCCAGGCCCTGCCTGGGGGTTAGTTTCTTCCTCCGTGCCCCCACATCTCTCTCCCTCTCGCAGGCTTGATCTACAGAGATGTGAGCATGTCGACCTCATTTTACAGAGAAGTGGCTGTCCAGAGGTGACTGGTAATGAAGCAGAGTAGAGACTTAAACACACGCCAGGGCACTTGCTGGCCCAGTCCTCGTCCAACGTGGGTTAGCCAGTGGTTTGGATTGTGAACTTTGTTTAAAGATTTATTTATTTTTACTTGAAAGTCAGAATTACATACAGAGGGAGATACGGAGAGTGAGAGAATGATCCTCCATTTACTGGTTCACTCTCCCAATGGCCTCAACAGCCAGAGATGAGCTGATTCAAAACCAGGAGCCAAAAGCCTCTTCTGGACCTCTCATGTGGGTGCAGGGGCCCAAGGCCTTGGGCCATCCTCTGTTGCTTTCTTAGGTCATAAGCAGAGAGCTGGACGGGAAGTGCAATAGCCAGCACACAAGCTGGTGTCCATATGGGATGCTGGCACTACAGGTAGAGGATGAGGCTAGGCCACAGTGCCAGCCCGTTTATTTACTTTTATTTCAGAGGCAGGAGACATGGAGCAAGAGAGACCGAGAGCTTCCACAGCAGCTAGGGCTAGCCCAGGTCAGGGACAGGAGCCAGAAACTCCGTTCAGGTGTCTTGTGTATGTGGCAGGGACACAAGGATAGCCCCTGCTGGCTCTCAGGGTCTCATCAGCAGGGAGCCGGCCCCTTGCATCAACGGGAGCAGGATTCGACCCAGTAGTTTGATGTGAGCTGCAGGACTTCCCACAAGTATCTCAACCACTAGGCCAGATGCCCAGCCTCTGTCCCGATCTCCTCACATGGAATTTGTAAGGAAGCTCTTGGAATTTCCAGGGACTTCTCAGAAACTGTTTGGAAGTTAAATGTTCACAAAGAGCTTGCAGTTCTTAAGATTTCAGAAGTTTAGCTCAACTTTCTACAGTGTGCAGAAATGCCGGTGGTACATTTGGGCAAATCTGTATCCCAGAGAGTCCGCCTCCAGCTGGACGCTGGAAGGTCACTTTTCCAGCACCTAATCCTCTGCTCCGCGGTGCTGTTAATCCAGGACAGTCAAGCCCACTCATCAGAGGTGATTAGCATGCCCGTTTATCTGCATGTAATTACTTTCACAATGATTTCTTCTACACCCGTGCTTAGGAAAAGACTTTGACCTCTTTTGAATGTGGCTCTCGAAGATATGGAGTTATGAATTATACAGGCACAAAGAGATCAAACTAAATGGCAGATGAAGCACGTTGTAAAAATTTGAAAGGCGCTGTGCCATGCCCTAATATTAACTGGAGAAAAACTCAAGCTCCATTTTGCTCCAAGATCAAAGCCTTTGAATAAGTTAAAAGGCAGATTGAAATCATCGTTGAAAAATAACAGATCCCTGAAATAAAAATGATTCAGAGGCTTAACAGTCTTTCAAAGGGAAACGTTCTCATTTATCATGCTCAGAATGATGAGAACAGAAAATGGATTTGTAACTGAGTAACCTTTCCTGAAGAATGCCTCTCTGAGTCAAGGCGGGAAGCAGCACCTGCGGCAAATACTGCTAGTTCTGGGGTAGTTCCTCCAGTTGGCCGTAAGGACGAAGCTGCTGGGCCCTAACGGAGCATCCACTGGGCATTTCCTTGAATTCTTGGTAGCCTTAGAGCAGGCGTTGTTGTTGCTGTACACAGAGCTATTGGGAAAGCAGATAATGCTAGTGTTGAACATTCATGATGATTCAATGTGTTTATGCTAGACACATGAGCTGGATCTGGGCAGGTGAGTGAGCAGGGATGCCATGTGTCTGCTGTCGGTACAGGGCTTGCCCGTGAATCTCAAATTCATCCTTGAAGGCATGGAGGAGGCGGGGTCTGTGGCCCTAGAGGAGCTGGTCCGCAGAGAGAAGGAGCGCTTCTTCGCGGGCGTGAACTACATCGTCATTTCCGACAACCTGTGGCTCAGCAGAAGGAAACCTGCCCTCACCTACGGAACACGGGGAAACGCCTACTTCCTGGTGGAGGTATTCTGAGTGTATAGGGAACAGGGAGAGAGAAAGCTCTTCCGAGACCAGCCTTTCCCTGGGACTGACATAGCCTGGGGGTGGCGGCAGACACACATATGCAAGGGGCATCCTTTTCAAGAGAGGAATTAGATGAGTTCTGACTTAGAACTAGGGCCGTGGAGTGTGGAGGCTGCAATAGCAGCTCACTGGAGGTGGGGAGACCACCTTGCAGGAGCTGGGATGCTGCGACATTGCCGTCTCACTGTCTCAGGACAAGAGACAGGGTGAAAACAGGGCTGCTAGCATCACCTAGGCTCCCGGGAGGGACAGCCTTATGCTGGCCCTGGATTCTGAGGCCTCATTTCCCACCTTGAGTGGACGCCGTTGGGCCCCTCCAGGGCTGGGAGGGCATTTTCCAGAAGCCCAGGGGGAAGGGCTTTTCAAGAGACAGGGGTACCCAGCAGTATGGGGTGGAGGCAGAAGCAGACGCTGGGCAGCAGCCAAGCAGCAGGCCAATGAGGGCTTGGTGATGTTGGACCCACCTGCAGGACAGTCTTCGGAGATCCAGGGCCTGAGTGGAAGTGCAGAGATGGGAGGGGTGGGGCAGGAGCGGGGGCCAGTCCGCAGCCGCCCACCTGCACAGGAAGGGCGGCAGTAAGTCCGTCTCTCTGCACCTGTTTGACAGGTAAAGTGCCGAGACCAGGATTTTCACTCAGGAACCTTTGGCGGTATCCTGCATGAACCCATGGCCGAGTTGGTTGCTCTTCTTGGTAATGCCTTCTTTCATTTCACTTTTTAACGCATTAAAGTGTCTAGTAAAACAGCTGTTTTATTTCTTTTTTGAAAGAAAAGGTGGGGAGAGAGAGAACAAGAGAATTCCCACCCACTCATTTCCTACCCAAATGCTCACAATGGTTGGGATTGAGCTGGGCGTGGAGCTGGCAGTCTAGACTTCAATCCAGGCCTCCATGCAGATGGCAAGGACCCGTTTCCCTGAGCCTCGCCACTGCTTCTAGCATCTGCATTAGCAGGAAGTAGGCCAGGTTTGGTTTTGAGATTTATTTATTTATTTGAAATGCAGTTACAGGGGGAGAGGGAAAGAGTAAGAGAGAGAGAGAGAGAGAATCTTTCATGTGCTGGTTCAACCCCAAATGATTGCAATAGCTAACACTGGGTCCATCTGAAGCTAGAAACCAGGAGTTTCATCTGGGTTTTCCCCACAGGTGTGGAAGCCCAGGCACTTGAACTTGTTCCACTGCTTTCCCAGGCACATCAGCAGGGACCTCCACGGTTTTCCAAGGCCATTAGCAAGAAATGGAACAGCTGGGATATGAATTCAAACCCATATGGGATGCTGGCAGCATATGGAAGCCACGTGCTTGCTGATACCAGCCTGTTGGTGTTGAGGAGGTGGGGCTGCTAGAGGGTGGCCTCGCAGGGAGCTGCTGTGATTGGCTGATTCAGCAGCTTCTGATGCCAGCGGCCTCTGCTCCCAACCAGAGCATATGTACAGTATATATGTACATACATGTGTGTGTATATATAAGATTTATTTGTTGCAAAGACAGATTTCACAGAGAGAAGGAGAGAGATCTGTGCACTGGCTCACTCCCCACGGGACCGTGTTCTCTGTGCATCGCAGGCAGCCTGGTGAACTCCTCTGGTCACATTCTTATTCCTGAAATCTATGACTCCGTGGCTCCTCTCACAGAAGAGGAGAAGGCAACATATGAAGCCATTGAGCTGGACCTGGATGAGTACCGCAGCAGCAGCCAGGTGGAGAGGTTCCTGTTTGATACCAAGGTAAGGGCCACAAGCTGAAGGAGGATGCAGGGGAGGAGGGATGCGACAGAGCTGCCCTCGGTACAGGTGGGTCTACTGTGCCCCCAGAGCCCAGAGCACATGCCCTTAGGCAGGTGTTAACATCCACAACCACGTTCCGGAGGGGCTCCGTGGGCACTGCCCTGAGAGCACTGACTCACTCCCTAGCACCCACTGTTCTTGCACCGTCGGCCGGGGAGTTTGAAGACTGAGAAGTGTCTGAAGTTGACCCAGCCACATGACCCCTAAATGTTCATTTTTCCCTGACAGCTCTAAGAACCTCTGGGGAAAAGTGCTCATTCTAGCGAATGTTTTCCACTTTCTTTCCCGCACCTTCCTTTGTGCAATGCTTCCCTGTCTCATGTTGAGTAGCTGTGGTGGATTCCGGAGACACTGCCAAGGCTGAGAAACCACACTAAGCGGAAGTGACAGGACTCATAGGGCGACAGCTGGTTCTGCCTGTGGCCTAGCTTGCTCCCGGTCCAATAAGAGAGAAGCCAGGACAAACGCCTCACTGAGTGACTGGGGACCGAAAGCTGTGACTGAGCACACGTTTCGAAAGGCCACCTGTGCCAGCTATTAGCCGCATAGCACACACCAAGCAAGAACTGGCTGCCGGCAGTGGCTGGGGCAAAGGCAGGCCGAAGGGCAGCCGGGACCCTGTGTGAGCAGCCCAGGCTGTCACCAGGGCAGACATTCTGGGTTGCCACAGCAGGCTTATCTTGCATTGCTCATCTTAGCAATTCACTTTCCCTGCTGTTTGTCCCAGGTGTGGGGGTCCGTGGTAGGAGCTCAGCTGCGTTTTAACTTGACCTGCTTTGGGTGCTTTTCCTGTAGGAGGAAATCTTAATGCACTTGTGGAGGTACCCGAGTCTTTCCATTCATGGGATCGAGGGTGCGTTTGATGAGCCCGGAGCGAAAACAGTCATCCCTGGCCGAGTTGTAGGAAAGTTCTCCATCCGTTTAGTTCCTCACATGAATGTGTCCATGGTGGAAAAACAGGTAACAAACATCTGCCTTGTTTCGGCCTGGCAGTTCCGTTTTGAGTCCCCCGTTGTCACTGCTTCATGGGCAGTCCAGTTGTTACGACTGTAACGTTGTTTTTCCAGGATGAAAAGAACCGGAACAAATGTCAAAAAAACCAGTCTCAGCCGTAATTGCATTCAGCTATTTTCCCCTCACTGACATGCAGTTCTATAACCAGGTTCATAGCTATTTGGGGTTGGATGATGAGAGATGTTAAAAAATTACATAGCAGCTCTGAAAAGCAAGATGGGCTCTATGGTACGAGAGGTGAATGCCGGCACGTGCACATTGACAATGCTGTGTGTCCAAATTATCGACCCATCAGCTTTTGACCTTGAATCAGCTTAACAGAAAGGAAATCAGGGGAAGCAAGATCTTATCCCAACCCACAGCCGCCAGCAGAGACCCTTGTCCCCTAGGGCTCTTGCGGACAACGTGTTTTCTGTCTCTGGGAAGTGTTGGTGGCTCCTCAGTCTCATTCCTAGCAAGGGCTCCTGGGAGCACAGTCCCAGGCACAACACGGGGCTGGATGCCATGGAAGTAAGACCTCAGAGGACGCGTCCTCCCCCGGCGGGGACTGCAGCAAAGGAGCACAGCGCAAGAGAGGCTCTTGAAGCAAATCTCCCTTGAGTTAGCCTGCAATTGCACCCTCATTTTGGAAATTTTCCAAATGCCTTGTGTTGTCTGAACATACACCCTGGCCCTCTGCGGCCCATGCGGGCACTGTCACGGTGGGGTTCACCCTGGCCCTGAGTGTCCCATGTAGACATTGTCACAATGGGGTTCACCCTGGCCCTGAGTCGCCCACGCAGGTACCGTCATGGTGGGGTCCACCCTGGCCCTCTGTGGCCCGTGTGGGCACTGTCATGGTGGGGTCCACCCTGGCCCTCTGCGGCCCATGTGGGCACTGTCATGGTAGGGTTCACCCTGGTCCTGAGTCGCCCACGCAGGCACCATCACGGTGCCACCGAGCATGTTCAATGCCTCTGTATGTCAGACTCTGCTAAGAATGGAGTGGGCACAGGATTGAGCACTGCAGGGTGACACATACGGAGCAAGAGCAGGTGTCTCTCCAGCTGGCAGGGTCAGCCCATGTTCTCGGTGTGGAGGGCCTCGCTAAGGTGTCAGGAACTGGCAGGGCTAAATCAGTCACAGCAAAAGCCTGGCTGGGATCCCAGCCAGCTCCTCGGTGAGGATAATATTCACCGTGTAACGCAGTAGTGGGAAGCTCCCTCTTACAGCTTGAAGCATCTCATTTTAGGTGAAGCAGCATCTTGAAGATGTATTCTCCAAGAGAAAGAGTTCCAACCGCATGACTGTCTCCATGGTGGTGGGACTGCCGCCATGGCTGGCCAGTATTAATGATCCTCAGTATCTTGCAGCAAAGAGAGCCATCAGAACAGGTGGGACTTCAAAAGCTAGGGGGAAAACATGCCTTGGTGTGATGTTCAGAGGGGGCCCGAGGCTGTCTGTGGCCAAGGCAGAACCCAGAGGCTCCGTGAGGCACTGCCTGGGGTTTTCCACACTGGGCACAGGCATGAATGGAGAATTGATCCAAATCTTAGAGCTAGCTGTGCCTTTCTACCTCCTCATCCTGGGTGCTCCCAATTTTGGCAAGTGTTTTACCTGGAGAGGTGGTAGTGAACAAAGAGGAAGGAATGTTAGGAAGGAAGGCGGACGTGATGTCAGCTGAGGTGAAGCCCCATCGCAAGGTCCGAGTGCTGCCACAGGAATGCCCAGGGCATCTTCACGTCTCTCGGGTGCGAAGCCAGTCCTAACCACATCCAGTGGCTTGGCAGAACTGGTCAGAGCTCTTCAAAAAGGGTAAGGTTATGGAAGACAAGGGAACGCTGAGATCGGAAAGGACCAAGGAGAAGCAATAACAAACAACATGGTTCTGGGGTACATCTTGGGCTAGAGAAAGAGAAATTTTGGTAAAACTGGAAATTCTGGATGTAATTAATAACACTGTAACAAATGTAGTTTTTAAAAAAAGGTTTATTTGGGGCAGTATTGTGGCTCAGTGGGTTAAGCCGCAAAGGGCTGACATCCCATCTGGGTGCCTGTTCAAGTCCCAGCAGCTCCATTTCTGATGGTACACCTGGGAAAGCAGTGGAACATGGCCCAAAACACTGCACCCGTGTGCGAGATCTGGAAGAAGCTCCCATTTTGGCCTGGCCCAACAGTGTTTATATAAGATGTTGTTAACATAAAGGAGACTAGAGCAAGGGAAATATTAGAATTCAATACTATTGTTCAGTATTTAAAAATTTGCAACTTTTCTAAATTTAGTTCAAAAGAAATTTCTCTATAAAAATATATTTTAGGAGCTGATAATTGTAAGGGAGGCAGCACGGTTTTCTTATTATTAGTTTCAGACTGAAATTGCATGAGCAGACTTAGCCTAGGCACCAAATGTGTGAATAAAGGAGAGGAGCAGCGCGTGCTGTAGCCGAGGGCTGGTGCCAGAGGTTGCCTCGTCATCGTGGCGTTCATGCCTTTCAGTGTTTGGAACAGACCCCGACATGATCCGGGATGGGTCGAGCATTCCAATCGCCAGGACATTCCAGGACATCCTTCAGAAGAGCGTGATGATGCTTCCACTCGGAGCTGTTGATGACGGAGAGCACTCTCAGAATGAGAAGATCGACAGGTGAGGGGCTTGCTGCTGGGGCGTCCCCCCTTGTGGAGGCTGGTTCAGTCCCTGCAAGAGACAGGGTGGGCACGTGGTCTGGAGTCCTCCTCCTGCAGGCCTCGTTGGGGTCAGGGCCTTTTCTTCTGACCCCATCTGAACTTTTGCATTGTCTGCAGAAGCATCATGTTGGGTTCACAACCTCAGGAGGAGAAATTGGGAGGCCTGCAAGAAGAATTTTCAGCAACGTTTGCTGTGTATACTACTAGCAGGTCATACACACCGCCAAGCCTCCCGGTCTAGTGGGAAACAAAGGCATGTTTGGCTCTGATGTGAGTCAGGTCAATCATTAGGAAAATGGACCTTTTGGATTTGAATCCTGGGCTCATTTCCATCGTTTCAGTGATGCAGCCTGTGTCACAGGCCACCACCAAGCAACTTCGGTAGTGAGCTGGGAGCGTGTAAATGTTTATACTAGAAAATCTTTCTTTAAAGTACATTTTCCTGTCTTCGCTTGAATGGAGGCTGTAACAGAGCTCTCTGCGGTTTTCCTTTCGGCAGGCGGAATTACATAGAGGGATCCAAATTATTTGCCGCCTTTTTCCTGGAGATGGCTAAGCTGCAGTCACAGTAAAGGATTCCAGCTGGATCTGAGCTGGCAGCTGTCCTTTCCATGTCCCGGAGAGGGATTGAATTGAAACAGCCTGGGAATTTTGATGCACTACAGCATATCTGTTCTTTGTCCGTTTTAAAATGTCTTGGGACATTGCAGCCACTGATAAAAGTGTTTTAAAGACGTGGACACCTGCTCCCCGCTGCACCCCTTCATGAAGTCACAGTGTCGTTTGACAAGGTGGCTCCCCCATGCCCTGTGGGACCACCCAGGCCTGGATTTGCTCGAATCTTCGTCTGAGGGCAGGACCACCGTTCTGCAGTGGCTGCACTTTCCGTTGGTGACTTGATTGGCGCAGAGAACTTGTCTGCTCCTGGGGTGCTGAGGTGCTCCTGTCTGCACACGCGCAGCCCCACTTGCACTACACTCTCCCTTCATCTTACTGATGGCGGTGTCGGTCTCCACCGCCAGGTCCCATGATTTCCCCCTGGGCTCATGTTTAGAGGAGTTACTAAAGCATGGTATTAGATTAACCTCTTGCCTCCACTTAATTTTCTTCCTGCCTCTTGAAAAGTTGTAAGGCTGAAATGATCCATATTCATGTCTTTATGTCATTTGGGATTCTTGTGCAAGGATAATTTTTTTAATATAAATTCATCTCCTGTAGTCGATGCCACTTCATCAGCCTCTGTCTCCTGTTATTTCTTCCTATCCCATTGGAAACAGCTCTGCACGATCTGTGAGCTCGTAAATTCACTGTGGCCGAAGCTTTACTTGCTGAGTACACGCGGACTGCTGCAAGCTTTCATAGTGTCACTTTACACAGGATGAATCAACCCCATCAGTAACACAGTCTAGAGCCATCAGCTAGTGCTGCATTCGTTAATCACCTTAGTTAACTAGCTCATTCTGCTTGATTGGATTTAATGGTCTAAACAAAAAGAAAACCAGAATGTAATTTTTCCAGTTGAGTATATGTAAATAATTCAATTCAGTCCTTATAAATGTGTTATTTAACTCATATTAACAGAAAAGATCTTAAGGGTCTAATAAAAATGTTTCTCTTACAATTGCATAGCACATTTGCCTTAAGCTTTTTTCCATGATGCTGTTGATTCTTAAAATGTCAGCTTTTCTTTAAAGATTTATTTATTTTTATTGCAAAGTCAGATATACAGAGAGGAGGAAAGAGAGGAACATCTTGCATCCAAAGATTCACTCCCCAAGTGGCTGCAATGGCTGGTGCTGTGCCATTCCGAAGCCAGGAGCCTGGAACCTCCTCCAGGTCTCCCACATGGGGGCAGGGTCCCAAGGCATTGGGCCGTCCTCGACTGCTTTCCCAGGCACGAGCAGGGAGCTGGATGGGAAGTGGAGCTGCAGCTCATATGGGATCCCGGCACATTCAAGGTGAGGACTTTAGCCCCTAGGCCACCATGCCAGGCCCCAAAATGTCAGTTTTACAACTTGTGGCGCCACATTTAAGAGGACTGCAGTGTGTGGCCAGTGCTTCAACTTACCAGGGCTCAGGTGAGTGGGACCCACTGAGCTCCCAGCCCACCAGAGGTGTTCCTGATGACTTACCAGGAGTGGGTTCACGTAAGCAGGACCCACTGAGCTCCCAGCCCACCAGAGGTGTTCCTGATGACTTACCAGGAGTGGGTTCACGTAAGCAGGACCCACTGAGCTCCCAGCCCACCAGAGGTGTTCCTGATGACTTACCAGGAGTGGGTTCACGTAAGCAGGACCCATTGAGCTCCCAGCCCACCAGAGGTGTTCCTGATGACTTACCAGGAGTGGGTTCACGTAAGCAGGACCCACTGAGCTCCCAGCCCACCAGAGGTGTTCCCGACAGCTTCCCTTCATCCCTTGCTTTGCAAGTAGAGATCACACCCTTGTCCTTGAACACTGACAGGTGTGTGGTATTTGTGCTATTATGCAGAGCTGGTGCTCCAACACACTTGCTGGGTTTTGTGGCATTTCCACAAATTTATATGGTATTATTCCTGGGGATTAACAGTGCAAAAGATTTTTTAAACTGTTATCATTTTATGTTTGTAGGTATAAAGATTCTCCCGTTCAGCCCCCTTATTCTGCCTTCCCATCCCTCCCACACCATTTTCCCCCACATCATTATAATAATATAGTTCTTCAGCTACAGTCGCAATTGCAACATTCAGCTACTTACGTGTATCATGACATTGTAGGTCTAGGCAGTGAAAGAAAATCTAATTTCGATGGTCAAGGTCTATTTAACAGTTTTATTGCTAGTCCTCCTTTTATTCAGGAGTAGAGACACATGCTGCACTGCTTCTCCATCCCCGTAACACCAGCCTCTATTATGCAGTTCATCTGTGAGAATATATACTCATTTGCCTATATCACTGTTTTATATTTTCAGTGCAAAAATATTTATGATGCCTATATATATATATTAAAGATTTTTATTTATTTTTTTGTTGGAAAGTCACATTTACAGAAAGAAAGAGATACAGAGAAAGATCTTTCATCTACAAGCGGTCATAGTGCTAGAACTGAGCTGATCTGAAGCCAGGAGTCGGGAGCTTCCGCCAGGTCTCCCATGCGGGTGCAGGTCCCAAGGCTTTGGGCCATCCTTGTCTGCTTTCCCAGGCCCCAAGCAGGAAGCTGGATGGGAAATGGGCCCGCCAGGATATGAACTGGTAGCCATATGGAATCCTGGTGTGCGCAAGCTGAGGACTTCAGCCACTAGGCCACCGTGCCAAGACCACCAATTCATATTTTTAAAAGGGATACTATTAGTTAAGCAAAGTGCTTTATAAAATAATTGTAGCATCTCTGAATAACGTGGTGTCAGTTTTACGAACTTGCTCAGCAACAGATGTGCCTGCTGATCTCTGCTCCTGAGGACTCTCCAGGACCAGCTATTTCTTGGTTAATTATTCAATCACCACCAAGCAGGGTGATGCATAGTCCCTGAGGTTGTTGAACCCAGGAGTTTCCAATTCCACCTGCAATGAGTTCAGAGTCCACCTTTTGCTGCCCCCATGGATTATGGTGGGGCTCCCAACTCCTCCCCCAGGTTTTCTCCCAGACCCAGAACCCCCAAAGGCAGGAAGCAGAAAGAGGTGCCTTCCCAAGGTGTTTCATTCAGAGAAATCTCCCATTTCCCGCCAGACCAAGGAGGAAGCTGGGGTCAAGGGAATTTAAAATATTTGCTTTTCAAGATTTGTTGAAAAAATAGATGTCTGAGCATACGAATGATCACTGGGCACAGCTGTAGGTAAGACAGGACGTTACTGTGCTGCGGGAGGGCAGTGTAGGGTGTGGTCAGTGGACACAGCACGTTACAGTGCTCAGACTGTTGCGACGGGGTGGGTGAGTTATGGGTGTTAAATGCATTTGGAAGATGGTCTTACGCAAGATCGCGAAGGCAGCAATGGTTTTGGTGTTAGGCTATATTTGTAAAACTAAACTGCACTGGCCTGGAAACGGTATGACATTGGACAGACAGCATGGGTGCTCTGGGGGGTGACAGTGCTTCTCTGCTCCTGCAGCAGGAGAAGGTGCTGACACATGCAGTGTTTGACCCAGGCCTGTTCTAGCAGCTCACGCCCCTGCGCTCATTGCTAAGCTAGTGCCTGGTGACTCCCAGCCCATCCAGCTCTCTAATCTCTATTCTGAAGTGCTCATCCGAGTAGCACCCCTCAGATCTGTTTTATCACTGGGGTTCTGTATGTAGCTCAGTAACTGACAGCAGAGCCCTGAATCTTTATTTTCTTTTCAAATGCAAGTCAACATCAAGATTTGTGGGCTTCATTTCTCAAGAGCCATCCCTTTCCACTGTCATCTCCCATAAGCCAAAATGTGTATGGTTTTGCTGGGTTTGTTACACAAGTTCTCACCTGGCCTCTTGCTTACAAGACTCTGTCATGCGACACCTGCAGGTTTTTCTTATTCCAGCTTACAGTGCTGGCCATTTGGAACAGGAAGGAGTCTGACATCATGAGAGAGTCTGTAAGTGCGGTGCACTCTGATCTCCATTCACTGACTTTGTTCTAGCCTCACTGCTGTGCGCCTCCACCACCTCACCTTTCCAATCCACTTTCTCAGCCACCTAGAGCTGGCAGCTTCCTTACCCTCCTGGAACGCTCACACTGGCTCCCAGAGCTGCGCCCCCCCACAAACCCTTATTATTCCTTGGATATCAGCTGAGTTGCAATTTCTCAGGGAAGCCTTTTTCTGACCCCCCACCCCCAGTACCTTCTTAAACTATGGAGAATAAGTTCATTCATAGTGTTTGTTATTACAGTTAAGTGCGTATTTGTGCAAATAAAGCCCTGTTGGTTCTGCTGGACTGCAAGGTTCCTGAAGGTCATGACTGTGTCTGACGTATCATGGCATTTTAAAGTTCTAGATCTTCGCATATTCTCAGGAGCCATCTGTGATGACACGAGTGGAGATTTTAACACTTGTATGGTAATTTTTTTTGTAGTTTTATCTCCTCTCCACTCAGGTTTAAACTCTATCAGAGATCATTTGCAGCCAATCTCTACTTGCAGCATTTAGCAGTATGTTCCGTCCACAGCAGGTAAATGACTACTAAAATCTTTCTTACTCTGCAGCTGTGATTTTGGGGATGTTGCCTGTCAGGCCTGCTGTCCCCTTCATTCCATTCCATTTCACCATGTTCCCAGTTCCACCCCAGCGCTGACTGGCAGTGGGAGAAAGCAAATGCAGCAGTTATTCGGAGGTGTCTGTCGTTGATAATGCTGCCAAGGCAAGGCTGTGTCTTGACACAGCCACATGCTGCATGGCTAGCCCTGCCTCACGTGGCCTGCAGTGTTCTAGACAGCACCGAATAGCATGTGACCAGAAGTGCAGATTTCACGGACATTCACTCCTCCATTGCCGCGGGGTGACAGCTAGCCAAGCTGAGAGTCTGCACCCTTTTGGACGCAAGCACGGGATGCATGCAACACATGCTAACGAACAGGAGGGATAGACAGCAGCTCGCAGAGAGTAACGCTGTCTGGCTCTCCCGTCCACTGGCAGCCGCCTCGGGGCTGTCCTACGACAGCACCAGGTGCATTCGAAACACTCTCTAGTTTAGTGTTCACTGTTCTACATGTCTAGGATTGATTTTTGTAAAATTTTACTTATTTTTTTTAACTTTTTCCATTTTTTAATTATATTTTTTATAA